TTTTCAACATATATACAAATGACCAACCTATTCCAGATAACACTAGAACCTTTGCATATGCAGATGATCTAGCAATAACAGTTGAAGGCAAAGGGTTCGAAAATATCGAGGAGAAACTAGAAAGGGCCCTAAAAACAATGTCAACCTATTACAAAAAGAATTCTTTAAAACCCAACCCCACCTAACTAAAGTGAGTGCATTCCACCTTAATCCGAGACAGGCGACCCGCAGACTTAAGCTGTACGCACACGTTGTTACATCTGTTGATAACATGAGCTGATCGCTCATGTTATCGCTGCCCTGATCGTGATCGTGATCGCGGCCGTGATCGCACCAGTGTGCGTGTAGCTTTAATGTTACATGGAACGGGACACTACTAAAACACACAGATAAGCCTACCTATCTTGGCGTCGTGCTGGACAGAACATTGACTTACAAATATCACTGCGAAAAAACACGCAAAAAAGTAGAAGCACGAAATTCCCTTATAAGGAAGTTGACCAATAGTAAATGGGGAGCCAAAGCTATCGTGGTCAGAACTGCTGCTCAAGCTCTGTGTTTTTCAACTGCAGAATATGCCTGCCCAGTGTGGTGTAGATCTGTCCATGCAAAAAGGTGAACATCAGTCTGAATGAAACATGCAGAATAGTGGCAGGTTGTATGAAACCCACCCCCTTAAAAAACCTTTACAAGGCCGCAGGTTTTACAAGCCCCGATTTACGCAGAACAGCTCATGAATATACTGAGAAGTTAAAACAAACCTTTGATGCTTGTCACTCAATTTTTGGCCAAGAGTGCGGCATAGGTACACTTAAATCCAGACGCCGTTTCCTAAGCCACGTCCTGGATGAACCTCCCTCCCACTACCCACTTAGAGAGGACCCATCAAATGGTGTTTCTAGCGACTGGAAAACCTGGAGAATGCTCAACCGAATCAGAACTGGGGTGGCCCCAGTAAAATCCAATTTGATCAAATGGGGTTTGCTGGACAGAAATGACGACAAATGCGACTGCGGCGCCTTTCAGGACATGGAACATCTTCTTCAATGTCCTGCGTGCCCCCACAGATGTACCCTCGATGACCTATGGCTGGCTAAACGGGAAGCATTGAATGTAGCCCATTACTGGGTTAATAAACTATAATATAATCCGGATACGAAAAAGTAAAAGTAAGTACAAGGGACTTTTTTTGCTAAATCATTACTAACGATACGAATTATTATAAAATACCAACAAACCTCCATATTTACTTTAACTTTACAGAGGGCTATATATTTGTTATCAATTAATATAATATCTAGATTACTTTTAATAATTTTTATTGCACGCATAAAGGAACTTTTATATATCAATCTTATATAACGTACTCCTATGATGTTATCAAATATTTATAGTTTAAAAGAGCTATTCATAAGTGTTCAACAATCTTATAAACTCATGATTATTTCTCGTTATTTTGAGATGGTGTGTTGAACAACAACAATATTTGTATAACTATAATTTTGCGAATGTAGTCAGCACTGTTATTTTAGAAAAATAAAACTCTCAGTGGCATACCTTTTCAAAATTTGTTGTGTATGAAAAATATTGACTTATAAATAACTTTTACTTTTTATTGATCAAAATAATTACCTTTTTGCAATTGGCCACTACATAAAATAGTCCACAGATACAGGGTGTTTTCCCTCGACTGACTACTTTGACTGGTATAAGAAAAAGTATCTAAGATCTGTCCATTGGGAGGATACTTGACAGTGACAGTTGTGTCTCTCATTTTAATTTAAAGGCTAATTGTATTTTCTGTTATTTATTACACGTCGTGTGTCGAAATATTTTCTGACTAGCGCGTTGGACATACGTGGTAAGCACCAACAGCTTATGATCATGTGGACCTTAACATTTAAAATTTCTTGATTTTTTTTATAAGAATTGTTTATATGCCAACATACCCAACACCAGTACCGCATTTAGAGATTGAGTTTGACTGTATTTAATTGAAGTACTAGGTTTAAATTAAATTTGCTCTGAAAGGTACTCTGCCTGTGGAATAAGAAAAACTGGATTGGTGATTGGTATTATTATTTTCTTTGATGACAATTTTATATTTTTGTTTAGTTTTAACAAAATTTTAACCGCAATTTTAACTTATAAATTTCTTCCGGGGAGCAGTAATTATAGTGTCTGCGCCACTGCATAGCATATACCGGGTGCGTCTAAAAAGTGGCTCACCCTTATAACTTTTTTATTTTTTCAGATAAAACAACGAGATTTGGTACGTTAGTATATGACATAAATTAGGATTTCGAACGCTCCACTAACTGGACCAGAACCGTTCTGCTTTCCAAGTGGTAACCAACTCAAGGCGGAACTCAAGAACTTGGAAGATTCCATCCGCAACCTGGAATGGAAATCTTGCAATGGTCTAAGACACTCGAAGAAGTTTCTGAGGGCTTATGATCAAGAAAAATCACAGATCTTCCTGGGTCTGAGTAAGAACAATCCTCGGATTGTCACGGGGTTTTTAACAGGACACTGTCTCCTCAATGAACACCTCAGTAGATTGAAACTAAGAAGAAACGGCGAATGCAGATTCTGTGGGGAAGATGGTGAAACACCAGTACACCTCATCACTGAGTGCCGAGACGACAACCATTCGTGCCATGAATTTTGGTACGACTGATATTGGAGATGGAGAACTACCCTCTATAAAACCGTCCCAGATACTGGCTTTTGTCAAAGCCCTGGGACTGTATGATGAGTTATGATTCAAGAAAGGGGGACACAATGGATCTGTAAGGTCGAAGCGATTAACCCCCCTCCCACTCATTCTAAATTCTAAAAAATTCTGCGCCACTGCATAGCATATACCGGGTGCGTCTAAAAAGTGGCTCACCCTTATAACTTTTTTATTTTTTCAGATAAAACAACGAGATTTGGTACGTTAGTATATGACATAAATTAGGATTGATTGACGTATTCAATTGTTTTCGGTCACTTCCTGTTTCACCGGAAATGACTACAACTTTTGATTTAAATGGCACCATTGGCATTTTTTTACTTTATCCGTTATCCAATAGAAAATAATACTCTGAATCGAATGGCATATCATGTCAACTTTTGACATTTTCGCACATGGTTTATTTGAAGTTATAATTTGCGGTTCGTAACGAAAATTTGACTCGAAATACCAAGTGTGTGGTACCAAACTATTCGTAAAAAAATGCTTTTTCGAAACACGCTAATGAGCCACCCTCGTTCCATTTGAAAAAATTGAGATATGGTTAAAAATACGATTTGTGCATTTTCTAACTGGTCAGGACAAGACACTAAAAACATTAGACGATCAAATATATTTTTCCAAGACTCCTTGATTAAGAATTAGTGTTTTTAACATAGGCACTCTAGATTGAATTTTAAAATACGATTTGTTATTAAGCGAGAATGTCCAAAGTTGACATATGATATATCATTTCATTCCGAATGTCATTTTCTATCGAATAAAGTAAAAAAATACCGAGGATGCTATTTAAAAATCAAAAGTTGCAGTCATTTCCGGTAAAACAGGAAGTGACCAAAAACAATTGAATACGTTAATCAATCCTAATTTATGTCATATACTAACATACCAAATCTTGTTATTGTATCTGACAAAATAAAAAAGTTATAGGTAAGGGTGAGCCACTTTTGAGACGCACCCGGTATAATAATCACAATAATTAATTATTTTTTTTACTTTTAGTTTTGTTTACCTCTTAATTGAGAGACCTTAATTACCATAATATCATTATTTATAAAAATATATATTAATATTTCACTTTAATAATGATATTTCTTTTTATGTTTATTTATACTTAACATAATTTGGAAATAAATAAATATTATTATTAATAATAAAACTGGGTATGTGGTTAAAAAATATACCGGGTACGTCTCAAAAGTGGTTCACCCTTATAACTTTTTTATTTTTTCAGATAAAAAAACGAAATTTGGTATGTTAATATATGACATAAATTAGGATTGATTGACGTATTCAATTGTTTTTGGTCGCTTCCTGTTTCACCGGAAATCACTACAACTTTTGATTTTTAAATAGCACCCTCGGTATATTTCTACTTTATTCGATAGAAAATGACACTCGTGAATAGAATGACATATCATATGTCAACTTTTGATATTTTTGCATATGGTTTATTTGTAGTTGAAACATGCGTTTCATAACGACAAATTGACTCGAAACCAATAAATTACCAAATTATTCGGAAAAAAAAGCTTTTTCAAAATACGCTAATTTTGTTCCATTTGAAAAAATTGAGATATGATTAAAAATACGATTTGGACATCTTTTAACATACGTAATCAAATCTACCAAAACTCGTTTTTATCTGAAAAAAATAAAAAAAGTTATATAGGGGTGAGCCACCGTCGAGACGCGCCCAGTGTAAGATGTAGGCACGTTTTATTTAGTAAATTAAGATTTAGGGGTGTTTCTGAAAAGAGACTTTATAAATATTTTATGGTGTTAAACCTTATTAACACTTAAATACCGTACATCTAGGTACTACCTAGTTTTCTACCTACGGCCCCTTCTTATGGAATTACAAAACAGGCAAAACTTATTTGGAAGTTCTGTTAGAGCCATGTCAAATTTGAAAAATATTTCTATTTTTTTCTAATATTACACAGAGTAGGCTATTTTCCTTACAGAGTTATATTTTATTCTTATTATGTTTAAAGCAAAGAAACTTAATTTATATTTTATATAAGTTAAAATTATTTTATCATGTTTTTCTAATAAATTTAAAAAGAATACAATATATTCTCATTTTATAATTTTATTTCCGTTACCGTCATGGTTTCGTGAAATTTATTATAAACCAAATGTTCAATAATCACAGTTTAAAAATAGAACTCCCAAAGTTTAACGATAATTCTAACAAAAATTGGCAACAGCTGAATTTTAAAAAATTTAATGTTTATAAAGGGTTGGATTGGATGCTTACCGTGGTATTGTCCCTATATCCGTTTCGATTGTTTAGCAGTGTTGTCACTTTTTTCGCATATAAGGAAAATGCTAGGATACGATCAAATTAGAACTGTACTGAAAATTTTAAAAATTGTTGGTCCGTTAACGTTGCTTTGATTAAATGAATGAAGGTCGACTGCCGAAATAGTAAACCGTTTACGAACTGTAACAGGTAAGTAACAGATCGAATATTTTTAATAATTTGTTTCTGGGATTGTATGGCACATGACTAAAATAATAAAAATGAGTCAACGCTTGAAGACCGCCGCGAAACTGCCGGCAAACGGCATGGGTCTGCTGAGGTTAGGTATCTATATTGTAAAAATTCCTACAACAAGCATGTGCGACTCGTTGGCGGGGACTTTTTTTATTCTTCTTATTTAAAAACATGTAAACACATTCGATTAATTGAAGCATTAAGTGAAGTACTTTTTTATCGCGTCGGTTTATACATTTTTTTAGAACATACAGGGTGATAAATTGACAATGCAAATAGAAAATACAGGATGATGAAATACATATCGAGGGATTAAACTCTTTGCTCGTTGTGGATTTGAGACCTTTATATGACACATTATTTTCTTCTAAGAGACATTCAAAATTCCTGATTTTCAAATACGTTATTTTCGATATTTCCTATTAAACTTCGACTCTAAAAAGCTGTTCACGTAAAAGACTATAAAGAGAAAGTTTTTCAACAATGTATCACACAAGGTAGACTAGCATTACTTACAAAAGAAAGTTGGGATGGCTGGGTAGCCATCCCAACTTTCTCACCCTGAGAGGGTTCTCAGGGTGAGGAGGAGTTAGTAAGTAAAAGAGTAAGTCATTTTGCTTTCCTCTCTTATTCCCGATACACATATACATATTTGAGACCTGATTTTTTAGACCTGTTTTAGGCGTAAGATATATTCTGGAATAATACTTTTCAAATGACCACGTTGTATATTATTTAAGTCGTATATTAGCGTTTCTGGTATTTGTTTATTTATTTATTTGTTCTTTAAGTCTACAAGAGAATATAACAGGTGATTTTTCTTATGTATATGTCACGGTTAAGGTCCGAAATAAAGTTAATTTCAATATTACCTGGTTAATCTCGAAAATAACACAAAACAAAACAATCAAAATCAAAACCAAACCCAAACATTAACTTGTTAATGTCGACATTAACCAGATATCGGACTTTAAGCGTAATGTATACACGAAACTGAATTTTTTAACTCTAATTGGCCAAAAAAATATTATTTATAAACTACATATATCTAACATTTATTTTTTTAAGGATTTATGTTTAGTTTCAAAAATATAGAAAGAAATACTCAATCTGATCGTCATTATAAAATTAGCTAACGATCAGGTTAAAGCAAAACATCTAGAAAATATAGAAAATATTATTCAATTTATGTTCAAAACTGTCGTCACAGAAAATAAATCGGTAAATATGAAGTTTCAACTGTTCAACAGAAAAAAAACAATAATTTAGTATTTATTTAAAAGCATTATATGAAAAACAGTTCAATTAGTTAAATTGGATAATAGACTTGTTTTAATATAAAATGAATAATACAGTGGCAACAAGAAACCGTGATAAATATTCATATTTATTTTATTACTGTCAATTATTATTAACATTTATATAAAAAATAAACATTTTGATGGCCCTATAACACTTCTTAGACCCTATAAATTAAAACAAATAAATACCGTATGGTCGAAAAAAAAGGCGTACAGTTGGCTTGGAAATGACAATCCATAACATTCCCCATAAAATTTTAAATATAAAATGACAGCGATCTTCATTTCATAGCTATCGCTGACGCCGTTTTTTTTCGATCGTATTATATATGTATTTGCTATGAAGCTCTTTGAAAGGCACTTACAACAATTCTTATTCCTTCTAGCGTTTTTATTTTCCTCTGTATTTTAAAAGAAAGTAAAAGGTAATTGGACATTACTTACGATGTTTTAATAATCCTTCTTTTTTAATAACCTGGATTTTGCACAACCATTGAGCCATTATTGATCCGAGGCATTCAAATTAGCGACTAATTCTGAAAAATAAATAGAAATCCTTAAAATGTATTCATTCTGCAGTCTACGTAAACAAAAACGAAAAAGCGCACAATTCTCAGAAATAATCCCACTTAACTTCTAAGAAACTTCAATAGTCAAACAGAAAAGTGTTTCAATATGTGAAATACTACAAAACAATAAGTCCTTAGTTTGTTAACTTTGTAACTCGGCTTGAAGTGCTTAGTAGTTAAGAGATAACAAAATATGTAAAACCTATTGCAAGATACTTAGTTGTTTAAACACCCTGTATATATGATATACAGATTGTTAACTGGACGGTTACTTATTGGGGAACAGAATGGCAACACTGCCTACATTCCAAATGAGTACTAAGCTAAGCTGCCGACTCGTCCTGTCGCGTGTCCCTTGCGTCGTCTCTCGACGAGCGGGCCGAGGTTGCCATATTTCAGCCATAAAGCTCTTGCCGCGAGTAATAAACAAATTAACAACCTGTATATCAAATAACAGTTTTGCCACAAACCGCGATTTGTATAGTGACATACACCATGACATACATTTATCAAATAAACTTTCAGTAATGTGATTAAGCTTGATCGGCCCGGCGAAGGCGCGGCGCGGCGCCGACTTTGCCCACTTTTACATATTTTCCCCTAATCAAAATATTTAAGAAAACAAAAATAAATGAATTATAAATATATAAATAGTTAATATTTACATCAACAAAACTCGGCTCCTTAAAGTGTTAAGGACGTAGTGACTTAAGGGACAATAAAGGGCCATTACTACCGTTTTCCCGTTCAAAATATTCTAATAAAGTTGAGATGAGTTTTTTACAGATATTAATCTTGTACTCACTTCGCACTAAAAGAGGTTCTAAAAAGATCAATGTTCGACTGCAAGGTCTAAAAAAAATTAAGCTTAAACTATCATAACACAATTCATTTCAACCAAAAACTCGTAATAGAAAACTAAAGTGTCAAAACGAATGACAATGTCAGAAAATAAGTAAATAAATGTATCAACTTGACATTTTTTACATCAGAGCTACCACCTGAATCCCCAGCGGGAAATTTAAATTCCAGTTATTCAGCCTGGCGCCGGCGCCGCGCCGAATATGGCCATGGTTGGTAACAATGAATTTAAAAATCGCGCCCTTGATTGTGCAACAAAAAGTTTCATTGGTATCGAATATAGTTATATGTTCTGTACTATTAGGAGGAAATGCCAAATAGATTTTTATTTTCGGAAAATCCATTTATATCTTTAAAAAAAGGAATATTCTCCTCAATTTCATCCTTGCACTCTAATTGTCGGGATCGCGATCCCGTTTTGAAATCCCGGGATAAGAACCTATAATCCCGGGATTGACTATCAAAATGAGAAATTTAATTTAAAGAAATATTTAATAAAAATGCAACTACATATTTATATCAAAAAGAAAACGTGAAAAGAGCTTTATTAAAAAAGACAAAGTAAGTAAAAAAAATACAATTCTTGTTGCAAAAAAAGTAAAATATAGCAAAACAATAAATATAATTTTTAGATATTGACTTTCTGCTTATTATAGATCGGTATAAATAAAATATGGAGTAAAGTGGATAAATTCGAATCATGTTAGAGATTATTATTGGGATTTCGGGTATAAACATACACCCAGATCGCGGGATTTTGGGATACCGATTTGTAAGCCCTACTCTATAATGGGTTACAAGAATAAATTAATTATTTAAAACTAGGAATCCAAACCAGAAAATCATACTGTCTAACAAGACGATGTAAAATAACAATTAAGTTAGATAGTAAATAATGAGTAATTTTTAATTTACGTAGATATTTTTACGCTTGAGCGGTGAATCAGCGATAATATTTATTTCGGAAAAATGTAGTAAAATAATATTATTCAACATGTTAAAAATGTTTGCGAATTTTTAACTCATACATAAGTTAAACCTGCTAAAAATACTGTTTATAAAATGCACGAAACAAACATTTTACCAAATAATAAAAAACGATGAATTCATAGTTTACTTATTACGAAAAACATATATAAGTTTTCAAAAAAAATAAATGAATTAATTAAAAGAGAATAAAAATAGATAACCTACACCAATGATTAGAAAATACTAATCGTCAGACGCGTGATGAAAATCTATCGTTAATACGATTTATTCTGATAAAAGCATACCATTTCAATGTTATGTGAACTATTCTAAACTAAACTTTTGTTAGCAATAGCATATAATTAGTTAAGATAATTAGATAGATTAAAGATTATAAAGATTAAGATAGATGATAATAAAATCATTATTTATTCACTGATTCTATTACAGAATACGGAATATAAATCTGACTTAACATAAAATAACTTATTATAATATGTATTGAAATTTTATTGATAATTTTCAATGTTAACAAATCCAAAAACACAACAATTTTGATTACAATACATATTATATTATCTCACTAAATTTCCGTGTGTATTTCTTTTAATTCTATTAAATTTTATTAATAATAATAATAATAATAAATGCCTTTATTGTCAAAAACATAAATAACATTAATAAATTCTATTATTCTTTCTCTTAATTCTATTTCCGTTTCAGATTAGGGACCTTCCATTTTGTAAGCTTGACGTGTAGTTATTCAAGTTATAGTAAAAATTTAATATATACCGGGTGCGTCTTAAAAGTGGCTCACCCCCTATACCTTTTTTATTTTTTCAGATAAAACAACGATATTTGGTATGTGACATAAATTGGGATTGATTGACGTATTCAATTGTTTACGGTCACTTCCGGTAAATGCTAAAACCATATGCCAAAATGTCAAAAGTTGACATATGATATGTCATTCGATTCAGAGTGTCATTATCTATCGAATAAAGTAAAAAAATACCGAGGGTGCCATTTAAAAATCAAAAGTTGTAGTCATTTCCGGTGACACCGTAAGTGACCGAAAACAATTGAATACGTCAATGCATCCCAATTTATGTCATATACTAACATACCAAATCTCGTTGTTTTATCTGAAAAAATAAAAAAGTTATAGGAGTGAGCCACTTTTGAGACGCACCCGGTATACTTTTTGAAAAATTACAATTTAAAATCTTTTCTAAAAAAATATAAGCAACAGAATTCTACTGACTATAAAGAATAATCCATTTTGTGTGAAAAAAACACTAATTTTTATTAGGTACCTAATCATTATAATATATTAATCTACCGGGTGGTGCATCGTCGTTGGAA